AGCAACAGTACCAACACCAGCAACAGTGAAAACAGCAAAACCTATAACAACACCAGCACAAGGAACAGTAACAACAACAGCAACAATAACAACAGCAGCAGCAATAACAATAGTAGCAACAGTAAAAACAGCAGCACCAGAAACAACAGCATGACCAGTAATAACAGCAGCAGCAACAAAAACAAAACAAGAAATAGTAACAACAGCAGCAACAGTAACAACAGCCACACCAGCAACAATAACAACAGAAACACAAGCAAAAGTAACAACAGCATCAACTTTAACAACAGAAACACCATCAACGGTAACAACAGCAGCTCAAGCAACAGTCACAACAGCAACCACTGTAAAACCCGCAGCACAAGATAATGTAACACTATCAGCAAAAATACCAACAACAACAACAGTATCAACAGCAGCAACAGTAACAACAGCAGCAACAGTAACAATATCAGCACCAGAAACAATATCAACAGGAGGACCAGCAACAGTAACAACAGAAGCACCAGCAACAGTAACAGAGGCAGCACCAGCAACAGTTACAAAAGCAGAAAGTGCAACAAAAACAGCAACAGTAACAATAGCATTACCAGCAACAGTACCAACAGTTGTAACAGTAAAATAGAAGCACTAGTAACAGTAATAACAGAAGAAACAGTAACAACAACAGCACCTGCAACAGTAAAAACAACAGTACCAGCAACAGCAACAATAGCAACGCCAGCAACAATAAAAACAGCAGCACCAGCAATAGTAAAAACAACAGCACCAGCAACAGTTACAACAGGATCACCGGCAACAGTCACAACAGCAGAACCTTCAAGATTAACCAAGACAGCACCAGCAACAGTAACAACAGCAGCACAAGCATCAGTAACAGCAGCAGCACAAGCAACAGTAACAACAGCAGCACCAGCAATAGTAACAACAGCAGCACAACAACGTTAACCGCAGCAGCACCAGCAACATTAACCTCAGAGTTGGAAAAGTATATGAGTGGGATTGAGTGGTTATAGATAGGAGCTGACTCGTATGGGCCAATATGCCTTCTGCAGTTACCTTTGTTCTTATGTTCTTATGTTCACAGCAGCACCCAACAACATTAACCACAACAGCAACAGTAACAGTAACAACAGCAGCACGAGCAAAAGTAACAAACGCAGCACCAGCAGCAGTAACATCACCAGCAACAGTAACAAAAGATGCACAAGTTAAAGTAACAACAGCAGTACATGAAACAGAAACAAAAGCAGCATCAGTAACAACAGAAGCACAAGCAACAGTAACAACAGCAGCAACAGTAACAACAGCAGCAGCAACAGTAACAGCAACAGCAACAATAACAAGTACATCAACAGTAAAAACAGCAATACCTGTAACAACAGCAGCACAAGCAACAGTAAAAACAGTAACAACAGTAGCAACAGTAACAACAACAACACAAGCAACAGTAAAAACAGAAACAACAGCAGCAATAGTAAAAACAACAGCAACAGTAACAACAGCAGCAGCAGTAACAACAGCAGCAACAATAGCAACAGCAACACCAACAACAGTAACAACAGCAGCACAAGCAAGTCACAACAGCAACACCTGTAACAACAGTAGCACAAGATATAGTAGCAACAGTAACAACAGGAGAACCAGAAACAGTAACAACAGCAGCAACAGTAACAATAGCAGCACCAGCAACAGTAACAACAGCAGCACCAGCCACAGTAACAACATCAGCACTAGCAACAGTAACAATAGCAGCACCTGCAACAGTAACAACAACAGCAAATGAAACAATAACGGCAACAGAGAAATAGCAACAGTAAAAACAATAGAAACATTAACAACAGGAGCACCTGCAATAGTATAAACAGTAGCACCAGCAACAGTAGCAACAACAACACCATCAAATCAACAACTGCAGCACCAGCAATAGTAAAAACAAGAGCTCAAGCAAAGGTAACAACAGCAGCATAATCAACAGTATCAATAGCAGCACCAGCAAAAGTAACAACAACAGCAACTGTAACAATAGCAGCACCAGTAACAGTAACAACAGCAGCAACAGTACCAATACGAGCAACAGTAAAAACAGCAATACCTGTAAAAACATCAGCATAAGGAACAGTAACAACAGCAGCAACTGTAACAATAACAGCAACAGTAACAACAGCAGTAGCAGAAAAATAGCATCACCCGAAACAGTAACAACAGCAGAACCTGCAACATTAACAAAGGCAGCACCAGCAACAGTAACAACAGCAGCACAAGCACAGTAACAACAGCAGTATGAGCAACAGTAACAACAACAGCAACAGTATCAACAGCAGCAACTGTAACAACAGCAGGACCAAGCAACAGTAACAACAGCAGCACCAGCAATAGTAACAACAGCAACACCTACAATATTAACCACAGCAGCACCAGCAACATTAACCACAGCAGCACCAGCATCAGTAACAACACCAGCAACTGTAACAATAGAAACACAAACTAAAGTAACAACACCGGTACAAGCAACAGTAACAAGATCAGCATCAATAACAACAACAGTAACAACATCAGCAACATTAACAACGGCAGCAACAGTACCAACAGTGACAACAGCAGCAACAGTAACAGTAACAACAACAGTAACAATAACAACATCAGCAACAGTACCAACACCAGCAGCTACAGTAACAACAGCAACAACCGTAATAACAGCCGCACCGGTAACCATACCAGCAATAGTAACAAGAGCAGCAACAGTAACAACAGCAGCAAGAGTAACAACAGCAAAACCAGTAACAATAGCAGCAACAGTATAAACACCAACACCAGTATCAACAGCCACACCAGCAACAGTAAAAACAGTAACACCAGCAACAGTAACAACAGCAGCACCAGGAAAAGAAACACCTGCAGCACCAGTAACAATAGCTGCACAAGCAAGAGTAACAACAGCAGCAACAGTAACAACAGTAGCACCTGCAACAGTAACAACAGCAGCACCAGCAACGGAAAAAACACCAGAAACAGTAACAACAGCAGCACCTGCAACAATAAAAACAGCAGCACAAGCAAAAGTAACAACAGCAGCAACAGATACAACAGAAGCAACAATAACAACAGCATAATCTGCAACAGAAAAAAGCAGCATCAGCAACGGTAACAACAGCAGAAACAGTAACAACAGAAGCACCTGCAACAGTAAAAACAGCAGCACCAGCAACAGTAACAACAGCAACAGTAGGAATAGTTACAACAGCAGTACCAGAAATAGTAAAAACAACAGCACCAGCAACAGTTACAACAGCATCACCAGCAACAGTTATAACAGCAGAATCTGCAAAATTAACCAAGGCAGCATCAACAACAGTAACAACAGCAGCACAAGCAACAGTATCAACAGCAGCACAATCAATAGTAACAACAGCAGAAAAAATAACAACAGCAACACCAGCAATAGTAACAACAGCAGCACCAACAACATTATCGTCAGCAGCACCAGTAACAGTAACAACAGCAACACGAGCAAAAGTAAAAACAGCAGCACCAGAAACAGTAACAACACCAGCAACAGTAACAGCACCAGCAACAGTAACAATAGAAGCAAAAGCTAAATTACCAACAGCAGTACAAGCAACAGTAACAAGAGCAACACCAGCAACAGTAACATCAGCAGCAACAGTAAGAGTAACAACAGCAGCAACAGTAACAACACCAGGAACAGTACCAACACCAGCAACAGTAACAACAGCAGCAACAGTAACAACAGCAGCAACAGTAACAACAGCCGCACCGGTAACCATACCAGCAACAGTAACAAGAGCAGCAACAGTAACAACAGCAGCAAGAGTAACAACAGCAAAACCAGTAACAATAGCAGCAACAGTATAAACACCAACACCAGTAACAACAGCCACACCAGCAACAGTAAAAACAGTAACACCAGCAACAGTAACAACAGCAGCACCAGGAAAAGAAACACCTGCAGCAACAGTAACAATAGCTGCACAAGCAAGAGTAACAACAGCAGCAACAGTAACAACAGTTGCACCTGCAACAGTAACAACAGCAGCACCAGCAACGGAAACAACATCAGAAACAGTAACAACAGCAGCACCTGCAACAGTTAAAACAGCAGCACAAGCAAAAGTAACAATATCAACACCAGCAACAGTAACAACAGCAGTACCAGCAATAGTAACAACAACAGCACCAGCAACAGTTACAACAGCATCACCAGCAACAGCAGAACCAGAAACATTAACCAAGGCAGCACCAGCAATAGTAACAACAGCAGCACAAGCAACAGTAACAACAGCAGCAACAATAACAACTGCAGAAATAGTACCAACACCCGCAACAGTAAAAACAGCAATACCTGTAACAACAGCAGCACAAGCAGCAGTAACAACAACAACAACAGTAACAAAAGCACCAACAGCAGCACCAGCAACAACAGCAGCAACAGTAACAACAGCAGCAAACAGTAACAACAGCAGCAACAGTAACAACTGCAAAACCAGTAACAACAGAAGCAATAGTAACAAGAGCAACAACAGTAATATCCGCATCAACAGTAACAATATCAACAACAGAAACAATATCAACAACAGTAACAATAGCAGCACCAGCAACATAAACAGCGGCAGTATCAGAAAAATAGCAGCACAAGCAACAGTAACAACATCAGAAACAACATCAGAAACAGTAACAACAGCAGCACAGGCAACAGTAATACCAGCAGCACCAGCAACGGTAACAACAGCAACACCAGCAACAGTAACAAGTGCAGCACCAGCAACATTAAAAACAACAGCACCAGCAACAAATACAACAGCATCACCAGCAACAGTAACAACAACAGAAAATGCAACAATAACCAAGGCAGTACCAGCAACAGTAACAATAGCAGCACAAGCAACAGTAACAACAGGAGCCCCAGCAACACTAACCACCACAGCACCAGCAAGAGTACCAACAGCAGCACAAGCAACAGTAACAGCAGCACCAGCAACAGTAACAACAATAACAACAACAAAAACAACAGCAGCAACAGTAACAACAAAAAGTACCAAAAACAGTAACAACATCAGCACCAGCAACAGTAACAATAGCAGCACCAGCAACAGCAACAACAATAACAACAAAAACAACAGCAGCAACAGTAACAACAACAGCATCAGTAACAACAGCAGCAACAGTAGGAACCGCAGCAACAGTAACAACAGCAGCAAAAGTAACAACAACAGCACCAGTAACAGCAGCATCAACGGTAACAACAGCAGCACATGTAACAGCAGCAGCACCAGCAACAGTAACAACAGCAGGAACAATAAAAACAGGAAAATCAGTAACAACAGCAACACCAGTAACCACAGCCACACCAGACACAGGAAAAAAAAAACACCAGCAACAGTAATAACAGCAGCACCAGTAACAAAATCAACTGCTACACCAGTAACAATAGCAGTAACAGTAACAACAGCATCAACAGTAACAACACTATCAACAGACACAGTAACAAAAGCAACACCAGTAAAAATATCAACAGCCGTACAAGCAAAAGAAACAACAGCAACAAATGTAACAAAAGCAACACAAGCAATAATATTAACAGAATCAACAGTAACAACAGCAAAACCAGTGACAACAGCAACACCAGCCGCAGTAACAACAGCACCACAAGCAATAGTCACAAAAACAACTCCTTTAACAACAGCAGTACAAGATATAGTAATAACAACAGCAACAGTAACAACAACAGCATCAGTAACAACAGAAGCACCTGCAACATTAAAACCAGCAGCACCGTCAACAGTAACAACAGCATTACCAGGAAAAGTAACAACAACAGTACCAGCAACAGTAACAACAGCAGCACAAGCAACATTAATCACAACAACACCAGCAAGAGTAACAACAACACAAGCAACAGTAACAACAACAGCACAAGCAACAGTAACAACAGTAGCACAAGCAACAGTAACAACAGCAGCAACAGTAACAACAAACGGCACAAAAAACCGTAACAACAATAGCACCAGCAACAGTAAAAACAACAGCACCGGCACCAGTAACAACAGCATCACCTGCAACAGCAACAACATAAGCAACTGTAACTTTAACCAAGGCAGCTCCAGCAACAGTAAAAACATTTTCACCAGCAACAGTAACAACAGCATCATCTGCAACATTAACCAAGGCCGCAGCAGCAAAAGTAACAACAGGAACAGTAACAAAAACAGTAAAAGTAACAAAAGCAGCACCAGCAAAAGTATCAACAGCAGCAACAGTAGCAACAGCAACAACAGTAATAACACCAACAACATGAACAACAACACCAGTAACAATAACAACAGGAGCACAATCAACAGTAACAACAGCAGCAACAGTAACAACAACAACAACAGTAGCACAATCGCAGGAACAGTACCAACAGCAGCTCCAGTAAGAACAGCAGCACCAGTAACAACAGCAGCACAACAACAACAGCAGCAAACAGTAACAACAGCAGCACCAGCAACAGTAACAACAGCAGCACAGCAACAGTAACAACAGCAGCAACAGTAACAACAGCAGCAACAGTAGCAGCAACAACAGTAACAACAGCAGCACCAGCAACAGTAACAACAGCAGCCACAACAGTAACAAAGTAGCCAGCAACAGACAACAGTAACAACAGCAACAGTAACAGCAGTAAGTAACAACAGTAGCAAAACAGTAACAACAGCAGCACCAGCAACAGTAACAACAGCAACCAGCAACAGAAAACAACAGCAACAACAGTAACAAAAGCAGCACCAGCAATAGTAACAACAGCAGCACCACAGTAACAACAGCAACAGTAACAACAGCAGCAACAACACAGTAACAACACAGCACCAGCAACAGTAACAACAGCACAACAGCAACAGTAACAACAGCAGCACCAGCAACAGTAACAACAAAACAACAACAGTAACAACAGCAACACCAGTAACAAGATAGCAACAGCAACCAGTAACAACAGCAGCACCAACAACAGTAACAACAGCAGCAGTAACAGCAACAGTAACAACAACAGTAACAGCAACAGTAACAACAGCAGCACCAGTAACAACAACAACAGCAGCAACAGTAACAGTAAACAGTAGCAACAGTAACAACAGCAACCAGTAACAGTAACAACAGCAGCACCAATAACAGTAACAACAACAGCAGCAATAAAAGTAACAACAGCAGCACCAGCAACAGTAACAACAACAGCAGCAAGCAACAGTAACAAGCAACAGTACAGTAACAACAGCAGCAACAGCAACAGTAACAACAGTAACAACAACAGCAGCACAAGCAACAGTAACAACAGTAGCAAGCAACAGTAACAAACAACAGTAACAACAGCAGCAACAGTAACAACAGCAGCACCAGCAACAGTAACAACAGCAGCATCATGTAACAGTAACAACAGCAGCACATAAAACAACAGCAGCACCAGCAACAGTAACAGCAGCACAGCAACAGTAACAACAGCAGCACCAGCAACAGTAACAACAGCAGCACAGTAACAACAGCAGCACCAGCAACAGTAACAACAGCAGCACCAGTAACAGTAACAACAGCAGCACCAGTAACAACAGTAACAACAGCAGCACCAGTAACAGTAACAACAGCAGCACCAGCAACATTAACAACCAGCAGCACCAGTCAACAGTAACAACAGCATTACCAGCAACAGTAACAACAGCAGCACCAGCAACAGTAACAACAGCAGCACAAGCAACAGTAATCACAACAACACCAGCAACAGTAACAACAACACAAGCAACAGTAACAACAGCAGCACAAGCAACAGTAACAACAGTAGCACAAGCAACAGTAACAACAGCAGCAACAGTAACAACAAACAGCACAAGTAACAGTAACAACAACAGCACCAGCAACAGTAAAAACAACAGCACCGGCACCAGTAACAACAGCATCACCTGCAACAGCAACAACAGCAACAAGCAACTGTAACAGTAACCAAGGCAGCTCCAGCAACAGTAAAAACATTTTCACCAGCAACAGTAACAACAGCATCATCTGCAACAGTAACCAAGGCAGCAGCAGCAAAAGTAACAACAACAACAGTAACAAAAACAGTAAAAGTAACAAAAGCAGCACCAGCAAAAGTATCAACAGCAGCAACAGTAGCAACAGCAACAACAGTAATAACACCAGCAACATGAACAACAACATCTCCTGTAACAACAGGAGCACAATCAACAGTAAAAATAGCAGCAACAGTAACAACAACACCAGTATCAATCGCAGGAAAAGTACCAACAGCAGCTCCCAGTAAGAACAGCAGCACCCATAACAACAGCAGCACCAGCAACAGTAACAACAGCAGCACCAGCAACAGTAACAACAGCAGCACAAGCATCAGTAACAACAGCAACACCTGTAACAATAACAGCACCAACAACAGTAACAACAGAATCATCAGTAACAACAGCAGCAACAGTAACATAAGTAGCAACAGTAACAACAGCAGCAACAGTAGCAACAGCAACACCAGTAACACCAGCTACACCGGCAATAGTAAAAACAGAAACTCCAGCAACAGTAACAACAGCAGCACCAGCCACAGAAACAACTGCTGCAACAGTAACAATAGCAGCACCAGTAACAGTAATAACAGCATCAATAGTAACAACAGTAGCAACTTACACAGTAACAACAGCAACACCAGTAACAATAACATCAGCAACACCAGTAACAATAACAACATTAGCACCAGCAACAGTAAAAACAAAAGCACCAACAACAGTAAAAACTGCTGCAAGAGCCACAGTAACAACAGCAACACCAGCAACAGTAACAACAGTAGCACCAGCAACAGTAAAAACAAAAGCACCAGCAACAGTAAAAACAAAAGTACCAGCAACAGTAACAACACCCTCACCAGCAACAGTAATAACAGCAGCAACTGCAACATCATCGAAGGCAGCACCAGCAACAATAACAAAAGCAGCACAAGTAACAGTAACAACAGAAGCAACAGTAACAACAACAGCACAGCAACAATAATAACAACAGCCCCAGTAATAATAACAACAGCAGCACCAAAAACATTAACCACAGCAGCACTTGCAACCGTAACAACAGCACCACAAGCAATGAAAAAACAGCAGCATCAGGAGCAGTAACAACACCAGTAACAGTAACAACAGCAGCACCAACAACAGTAACAACAGCAGCACCATCAACAGTAGTAACTGCAGCACAGGCAACTGTAACAACAGCAACACCTGTAACAACAGCATCAGCAGAAACAATAACAATAGCCGCACCAGCAACAGTAACAACAGAAGCACTGTAACAACATCAGGAACAGTAACAGCAGCAGCAACAGTAACAACAGCAGAACTAGCAACAGTAACAACAGCAGCAACAGGAGCAATAGCAGCACCAGCCACATAAACAACAGCAGCACCAGCAACAGTAACAATAGCAGCATCAGCAACAGTAACTGGAACAATAGTACCAACAGTAACAATAACGGAACTAGCAGCAGTAACAACAGCAGTAACAGAAACAATAGCAGCACCAGCAACAGTAACATCAGCACCACCAGTAACAGTGAAAACAACAGCACCAGCAACAGTAACAACTGCATGAAACAGCACTGGCACCAGTAACAACAGCATCACCTGCAACAGCAACAACATAAGCAACTGCAACTTTAATCAAGGCAGCACCAGCAAGTAAAAACATTTTCACCAGCAACAGTAACAACAGCAGCAACTGCAACATTAACAAAGGCAGCACCAGTAACAACAGCAGCACAAGTAACAGTAACAACAGTAGCAACAGTAACAACAGCAGCACCAGCATTAATACCAGCACCACCAACAATAATAACAACAGCAGCACCAACAACATTAACCACAGCAGCACCAGCAACCGTAACAACAGCAGCACCAGCAACCGTAACAACAGACTAGCAACAGTAACAACACCAGCAACAGTAAAAACAGAAGCACAAGCTACATTAGCAAAAGCAGTACAAGCAACAGTAACAAGAGCAGCATCAATAACAACAGAAGCACACGCAACAGTAACAACAGCAACAACAGTAACAACAGCAGCACCAGCAACAGTAACAATAGCAGCACCATCAACAGTAACAACAGAAGCATCAGTAACAACAGCAGCTACAGTAACAAAAGCAGCAACAGAAACAACAGCCGCAACAGTAACAACAGCAGCAACAGTAACAACAACAGCACAAGTAACAACAGCAGCAACGGCGAAATCAGCAGCACCAGTAACAACAGTAGCACCAGAAAAAAAGGAATAACAGCAGCAACAGTAAAAACAGCAGCAACACTACAAGCACTACAGTCAGCAGCACAAGCAGTAGCTCTACAATCATTACAGTGAAGAGCACAAACAGTACCTCTACAACCAACACAGTCAGCAGCATAAGCAGAATTAATACAAGCACCCCCAGTAAGAAGCAAAAGCCGAAAGTCTACAAACAGCACAGTCAGCACCACAAACAGTAGCAACAGTAAAATCAGCAGCAATAGTAACAACACTAGCACCAGCAATAGTAACACAGTAGCACAAGCAACAGTAACAACAGCAGCAACTGTAACAACAATAACAACAGTAACAACAGCAGCAACAATAACATTAATATCAGTAAAAGCAGCCGCACTAGCAACAGTAACATTACCAGCAATAGTAACAACAGCAGCACAAAAAACAGTAACAACAGCAACAGCTGAAACAACAGCAACACCTGTAACAACAGCAGCACCAGCAGCAGTAACAACAGCAACACAGGTAACAACAGCAACACCAGTACCAACAGCAGCAACAGTAACTACAACAGCACCAGTAACAACAGCAGCAACGGTAACAACAGCAGCACTTGTAACAACAGGAGCACCAGCAACATAACAACATCCGCATCATTAACAACAACCGACATATCAACAACAGCAGTACCAGTACCAAGAGCAGCACCAGCTACAGTAACAAAATCAGCACCAGAAACAGTAAGAACATCAGCAGCAACAGTAAAAACAGCTGGAACTCTACAAGCACCTCTGTCAGCAGCAGCAGCAGCAGCAGCAGCACACACGCAGCAATACAGGCATCACTCTCGGCCGCGTAAGTAGTATCACAACAAGCACCACAGTAAGCAGCACAATCAGTAGTCCTACAAACAGCACAGTCAGCATCACAAGCAATAACTCTACAAGCACGACTGTAAGCAGCATAGGCGGTTGCCACAGTAAATCCAGCAGCAGTAGTATCAACAGCAGCATCAACAATAGCAACAAAAGTAGCACAAGCAAGAATGACAACAGCAGCACCAGCAACCGTAACAATAGCAGCAACTGTAAAAACAGCAGCAACTGTAACAACAGCAGCAACAGTAAAAACAACAACACCAGTAACAACAGCAGCACCAGCAACAATAACAACAGCAGTACCAGCAACAGTAACAACAACAACAACAACAGTAACAACAGAAGCAATAGTAACAACAATGAAACCAGTAACAAAAGCAGCACCAGCAGCAGTAAATACACCATCAACAATAACAACAGGAGCACAAGCAAAAGTAACAACAGCAGCACCAGCAACAGTAATAATGGAAGCAACAGTAACAACAGCAGCATCAGCAACAACAGCAGCACCAGCAACAGTAACAACAGCAGTAACAGTGACAACAGCAGACACAGTAACAACAGCAGCAATAGTAACAACAGCAACCACAGTAACAACAGCAGCAACAGTAACAACAGCAGTAACAGTAACAACAGCAGTAACAGTAACAACAGCAGCAACAGTAACAACAGCAACAATAGTAACAGTATCAACAGCAGCAAGAGCAACAGTAAAAACAGAAGCAACAATAACGAGCAGCAGCAACATTACCAACACCAGCACTTGCAACAACAGCAATACCTGTAACAACGGCAGCACAAGTAACAGTAACTACAACAGCAACAATAAAAAGAGTAGTAACAGCAGCAACAGTAACACCAGCAGCAACAGTAACAACACCAGCAACAGCAATAGTAACAACAGCAGCAATAGTAACAACAGCAGGCACAGTAACAACAGTAGCCACAGAAACAACAGTAGTAACAGTAACAGTATCAACAGGAGTAACAAAAAACAGCAACAACAGTAACAACAGCAGTCACAGTAACAGTAACAACCGCAGAAAAAAGGAACAATAGCAGCAACAGTAACCACAGCAGCAATAATAACATCAACACCAGTAAAAACAGCAGCACCAGCAACAGTAACATCACCAGCAATAGTAACAACAGCAGCACAAGGAACAGTAACAACAGCATCAGCTGTAACAACAGCAACACCTGTAACAACAGCAGCACCAGCAGCAGTAACAACAGCAGCACTAGCAGTATTAACAGCAGCAACACTGGTAACAACAGCAACACCAGTACCAACAACAGCAACAGTAACAACTACAGTAACAACAACATCACCAGTAACAACAGAAGCAACGGCAACAACATCAGCAACAGTAACAACAGCAGTAACAGCAACAAAAGGAGCACTAGTAACAACAGAAGCACCAGCAACAGTAACAACATCAGCATCATTAACAACAACCGACACATCAACAACAGCAGCACCAGCAACAATAACAACATCAGCTCCAGAAACAGTAACAACATCAGCAGCAACCGTAAAAACAGCAGAAACTCTACAAGCACCAGAGTCGGCAGCAGCAGCAGCAGCATCACAAGCAGCATTACAAGCATCACACTCAGCAGTGCAAGCAGTATCACTACAATCACCACAGTAAGCAGCACAGTCAGCATCACAAGCAATTGCTCTACAAACAACACAGTCAGCAGTACAAGCAGTAGCTATGCAAACAGCACAGTCAGTAGCATAAGCAGTATCTATACAAGCATGACTGTCAGCAGCACAGGCGGTAGCCACAGAATATCACGCAGCAATAGTAACAACAGCAGCATCAACAATAGTAACAACAGTAGCACAAGCAAGAGTGACAACAGCAGCACCAGCAACAGTAACAACAGCAGCAACTGTAAAAACAGCAGCAGCAACAGGATCGACAGCAACAGTAACAACAGCAGTACCAGCAACATTAGCAACAGAAGCAACGGAAGCACTAGCAAAAACAGCAGCAACTGTAACAACAGTAGCAACAGTAAAAACAACAACACCACTAACAACAGAATCATAAGCAACTGTAAAAACAGGAGCGCCAACAACACTAACAAGAGCAACACCTGTAACAACAGGATCGCCAGCAACAGTAACAACGGCAGCACTTGTAACAACAACAGCACCAGCAGCAGTAACAACAGCAGCACCAGCAACAGTAACAACAGCAACACTGGTAACAACAACAACACCAGTACCAACAACATCAACAGTAACAACAACATCACCAGTAACAACAACAGCAACGGTAACAACAACAGCAACAGTAACAACAGTAGTAACAGTAAAAACAGGAGCTCTAGTAACAACAAGAGCTCCAGCAACAGTAAGAACATCATCATCATTAACAACAACTGACACATCAACAACAGCAGCATCAACAACAGCAGCACCAGTAACAACAGCAGCACCAGCAACAGTAACAACATCAGCTCCAGAAACAGTAACAACATCAGCAGCAACAGTAAAAACAGCAGGAACTCTACAAGCACCACAGTCAGCAGCAGCACAAGCAGCATTACAAGCATCACACTCAGCAGCGCAAGCAGTATCACTACAAGCATCACAGTAAGCAGCACAGTCAGCATCACAAGCAATTGCTCTACAAACAACACAGACAGCACAACAAGCAGTAGCTATGCAAACAGCACAGTCAGTAGCATAAGCAGTATCTATACAAGCACGATTGTCAGCAGCACAGGCGGTAGCCACAGAAAATCACGCAGCAATAGTAATAACAGCAGCATCAACAATAGTAACAACAGTAGCACAAGCAAGAGTGACAACAGCAGCACCAGCAACAGTAATAACAGCAGCAACAGTAAAAACAACAACACCAGTAACAACAGAATCATAAGCAACTATAACAACAGCAGCAACAGTAACAACAGCAGCGAAAGCAACAGTAACAATAGCAACACCTGTAACAACAGGATCGCCAGAAACAGTAACAACAGCAGCACCAGCAACATTAAAAAAATCAATACCAGCAACAGAAGCAACGGAAGCACTAGCAACAGGAACAACAGTAGACCCTGCCATATTATCCACAGCATCAACAGTAACATTAGCAGCATCAGGAACAGTATCAAGAGCAGCAACGTTAACAACAGCAGTACCAGCAACAGTAACAAAAGCAGCACCAGCAATAGTTACAACAGAAAAACCAGGAAAAGTAACAACGGCAGAATCAGCAACAGTAACAACAGCAGCACCAGTAACATTACCCACCACAGAACCAGCAAGAGTAACAAGAGCAGCACAAGCAACAGTAACAACAGCAGCACAAGCAACAGTAACAACAACAGCAGCAACAGTAACAACAAAAACAAACAACGGTAGCAACAGCAGCACCAGCAAGAGTAACATTAACATAACCAGCAACAGTAACAACAACAACAACAATAACAACAGCAGCAATAGTAACAACAACGACACCAGTATCAACAGCTACAACAGCAACAGTAAATACAATAAATAACAACAGGAACACAAGCAAAAGTAACAGCAACAGCACCAGCAACAGTAATAATGAACGCAACAGTAAGAACAGCAGCACCAGCACCAGTAAGAACATCAGCAACAGTAACAACAGCAGCATCAGACACAAGAGCAGCACAAGCAAAAGTAACAACAGCAAACACAGTAACAACAGCAGCAACAGTAACAACAGGAGCCACAGTAACAACAGCAACAACAGTAACAACAGCAGTAAAAGTAACAGCAACAGTAACAACAGCAACAATAGTAACAGTAACAACAGCAGCACCAGCAACAGTAACAACAGAAGCAACAATAACAGCAGCAGCAACATTTCCAACACCAGCAACAACAGCAATACCTGTAAGAACAGCAGCAACAATAACAGCAGCAGCAACATTACCAACACCAGCAACAGTAACAACAGAAATACCTGTAACAACAGCAGCACAAGCAACAGTAACAACAAGAGCAACAATAAAAAGAGTAGTAACAGCAGCAACAGTAACACCAGCAGCAACAGTAACACCCGAAGCCACAGTAACACCAGTAGCAACAGTAAAAACATCAGTAACAGCAATAGTAACAACAGCAGCAATAGTACCAACAGCAGGGAGAGTAACAACAGTAGCCACAGAAACAACAGTAGTAACAGTAACAGTAACGAAAACAGCAGCAATAGTAACAACAAAAGCAACAGCAGCAACAATAACAACAACAGCAACAGTAACAACAGCAGCCACAGTAACAGTAACCATATCAGCAACAGGAGCAATAGCAGCACCAGCAACAGTAACAACAGCAGCAACAATAACAACAGCAGCAACAGCAAAAACAGTAAAAATTAACAACAGAAGCACAAGCAACAGTAACAACAGCAGTACAAGCAAAAGTAACACAAGCAGCAACAGTAACAACAGAAGCACAAGCAACAGTAAAAACAGGATTAACAGTAACAACAGCAGCACCAGCAACAGTAACAATAGCAGAACCATCAACAGTAACAACAGCAGCAACAGTAACAAAAGCAGCAGCAACAGTAACAACAACAGCGAAAGTAACAACAGCAGCAGCGGAAACAACAGCAGCACCTGTACCAATGGCAGTAACAGTAACAAAAGACGCACAAGTAACAACAGCAGCACCAGCAGCAGTACGAACCGCAGCAACAGCAAAAACAACAGCACCAGTAACAACAGCAGCACCAGCAAAAGTACCCTCAGCAGCACAAGCAGTAGCTCTACAAGCAACACAATCAGCAGCAAAAGCAGAAGCTCTACAAATAGCACAGTCAACAGCACAAGCAGTAGCAACAGTAAAATCAGCAGCAATAGTCACAACAGCAACACGAGGAACAGTAACTACAACAGCACCAGGAACAGTAACAACAGCACAACCAGCAACAGTAGCAACAGCAGCATAAAGGACAGTAACAACAGCAACGCCTTTAAACGCAACAGCACCAGCAACAGAAAAAACAGCAGCTCCATCAACAGTAACAACAGCAGACACTGTAACAATAGCAGTAACAGAAAACATAGCAGCATTAGCAACAGTAACAACAGGAGCAACAGTAACAACAGCAACATCAGAAGCAGTAAAAATAGAAGCACAACAACAGTAAAAACGTCAGCACCAGCAACAGTAAAAACAACAGCACCAGCCACAGTAACAACAACAACAGAAGCAATAGTAACAACAGCAGCATAAAGACAGTAACAACAGCAGGAACAGTAACAACAGCAGCAACAGTAACAACTGTAGCACCAGCAACAGTAACAACAGCAGCACCAGCAATAGTAACAACAGAGGTCCACCAACATTAAGCACAGCAGCACCAGCATCATTAACCCCAATAGCACCAGCAACAGTAACATCAGCAGCAACAGTAACAACTGAAGCACAAGCAACAGTAACAACAGCAGCACAAGCAACAGTAACAACAGCAGTACAAGCAACAGTAACAACAGCAGTTCAAGCAACAGTAACAATAGCAGTACAAGCAACAGTAACAAGAGCAGCAACAGTAACAACAGAAGCACAAGCAACAGTAACAACAGTAGCAATAGTAACAACAGCAGCAACATCAACAGTAACAACAGCTGGTACAGTAACAACAGCAGCAAAAGTAACAACAGCAACAACAGTAACAATATCAGAAACAGTAACAACAACATCACCAGTAACAACAGCAGCACCAGCAGCAGTAACAACAGAAGCACCACCATCATTAACCCCAATAGCACCAGCAACAGTAACAACAA